ACAACATCCATAGGGACCACTTTATTCCTTTTACTATGCTTTTTCATGAAGTCCAACAATGAAATTTGACAACAACAAAGAATAAAACCCAAACAATTGCATCAAACAAATAAAATAAAGTAAGCTACTTACTATATGTGCGAGCTTCCCCACCATCTCTGATTTTCATTGTCTTTGACTCTTTCTCCTATTCAATATGTTGCCTTGACCAAATCACCTTTGTCGCACCTTCGTTTGGAAACTTCAAGTCAGAAAATATCTCCCAAATCGCAGTCTGTCTTTCTCTCACCCTTTTTTGAATCTTTTAGTCACTATCTCTCTTTCATTCTCACCATTTTTTGAAAGTTTCACTTTGAACCCTAAGTCTGATTTGGGAATTGGGCATACGAAAGAAGCAGTAAAAGGGGGCTGAGGTATGAGGAATAAAAGAATGAGATTACCCTCAACAAACGGCTCACGTGCCATTCAAGCGGTGTTTTTTATGGGCATTTGGATGGAATTGTGGACAAGCTAACGACATGGGCGAAATTGACAAATAAATTTAATACGAAGGCTGAATTGGCTGAAAAAATAATTCAGGTTGGACATTTCGACAGTCGAAATAGTCCTGGGGGTATTCGGCAGTTTACTCTTCCCTTCCTTGTGGGAATTATTCTCTGAAAAAAAACCTCTTCTCATGCCCTAGAAACTCCCTCTCTCATGCCACTCTCTCTCCTTTCTCCTTCACGACTCCGACCACCCTTACACACGACTCCGGCCACCTAGTTCTCTCGTACCGTAAAGAAAACTCCGACATTCTTTGTTATTTTCATATCTTTCCTAAGATCATCTAACTGACTTAGGCATCAGAGGGCCTTGGCCAACACCTCCCGGGTGTGGTCCATTGACTCCAACCTTTTTCGCAAGAACCAAGAAAGGAGAGCGAGAAAAAAGCTCGAAGGTTGAAGAATCAATCCACAAATATTCCCCTGTGCGGATATTTGCATAAATAGTGGTAAACTTAAATGCTTTGATATCATTGTGCTAACGGTGAGAACTGGCTTCAACATGGTAATTTTCCGAAAAGTTGGCTCAGTATGGCGTCAACGGTCAAATCACATTTAATGTGGTTGCTCAGTTCTTAGCTTACTGCCTAAAACCTCCTTGGTTGCCAAAGTCAAACGAAGTCTTTTTGGGTAAAGTGTAATAAACACATTTACACTCTAGGTAATAGCCCTTGGTAAAAGAAACAAATCAGTTTGGGCCACAACGATTTGGCCTATTTTGATCCAATCTGAAATCTAACTCTTCCCTTGATCCAAATTCTCAGCCCAAAGCTTATTTAAAGACCTAATCATTCTATAGTGAGGGCCTTATATATGGCCCTTAAATGATGCCCTATCTTTTAGCCGTTGGATCAAATTGATTAGCAGTATTCAATTATTAAGAGATAGGACCTCACCTAAGGGTCATATATAAGGCCATTACTATAGAATTCTTGTTTAAAGATCCCAATGCCCCCTTTTATTTTATTTATTTTTATTTTTAGCAAATGAAATTTCACTATAGTATGGAGGATTTGACCACTAAAGCCCTAGACCCCAATGCTCCTTAATGAGCTACTTTTCATTTATGGTCCAAACAATCCCATTAAACTTTTTTCATTCTCTTTTCAAAAAGATTCCAAATGAGAAAAGTAGGTCACACACATGCATCATGAGCTAATTAGCCAAGGCCTAGATATAAATCCATGTGGTCCTTTCAATTCTTATAAAATTCAAAAGTAAAATATCATGATTCAAGAAATCCATAAATAAAATCCTATAAGAAATTACATTCCTAAATAGTCTTTTTAAAATCCAATGGACTTATTTATCTCGAAACAGTCTTTTAATATTCCAATTAAATACAATCATCGGACGAAAATAAAATATGTAGAACCTAGACTCTCTCCTTCTCTTGTTAGTCTCCTTTTCCCTTGGCTAAGAATTGTGTTTTAAGGAATTTGAACATAAAAGGGAAGGATAAAATACACAACTAGACATATTTGACTTTGTTTAAGGTATATATAAGAAGCACATTTTCCCTTCGTTCATACACTAAAAATACAAACAAGCAAGCATGGTTGTCCCTTTTAGAACTGTGGTGGTGCTAACATTTCTTTTGATGCTAAGAACTACATGTTATGCAGCGGTCGTCAATCCTGAAACGCATGTCAACATCATCAACTATTTGCGTTTAGGCGTCGACCTTACGGTTCATTGTAAATCCAAGGATGACGATCTTGGTGTTCATGTAATACCCCCTGATGGATCATGGGAATTCCAGTTTCGACCAAATTTTTGGAATTCTACACAATATTTTTGCAAATTTGATTGGAATGGGGGATCTTATTGGTTTGATATATACATACAACTGAGAGACAAACCGTACTGCGTGAAGAACTGTGACTGGCTCATAATACCGAATGGTGCATGCAGGAAAGTTGAAGGGGTGCCTCATGCGGTAGACAAGTGCTTTCCTTGGAATCCATAATTATAGTGATTATTAATGTATTATTCCTACTACTCTCCTTGCTGATGAAGAATAGTTTTTTCCTCTTGGGAGAGTAGAGAAAATCTATCAGCCTTTTAAAAGAAATGTCTATTTGTTTCTTTGAAAATAAGATTAATGAGAGCCACATTAATGTTAAGCATTATTAGTTTTCTTTGGATATTTCTTCACAATCCTCTTCTTCTAATTAATTATGCAATTTAGTTAGAATCACGACTGAGCTCGTATGTGTAGAGATACTAGCCTAATTCCCAACGACCAGGCACGGGCCCAATCCTGTCTAAGTAGGGCTGAAGCATGATCCAAATTTTAAGATATCTTCCCATGCCTAGGTAGCCTACCCTCCTTAAAAAAATGAAGTTGTCCAGCCCATTATTCATTACCCAGTCCAGTTTCGTTACCCAAGACAAGAACATAAACAGAAGATTTTCTCCTCCTCTCTCTAAGCCAGGCCGTGCCTCAACCTCTCCTTCTTCCTTTCCCCTCTCCCTCTCCTCCACTTCATATGCCCAACTCTCTTCTTTTCTCTTTTTTATTTTTTCTTTCTCCTGTTTTTCTTCCTCTTATTACATTTTTTATTTTATATATATACAAAATAGCAGAAAACCTACAGAGAAATGCATCTACAAACACCACCACCTAAAACATCCAAGAGTAGAGCAGAAAAAACTTGCACACGCCTCTCTAAAAACATGTTGATAATGAATGATCGCATAATATCTACTAAGCATATGAATATTCTCCAGAGTAAGTTCCTTGTTTTTTGGAACTATCAATAGTAAATTTGGGTTTTCCCTTTTAAATTCATTTTTTCTTACCTACAGCCCATCCTTTTATTTTTCTACAAATTAAACACAATTTTTATAAGTTAAATTCAGTGAGTAGGATCTACCCAAGCAAATTACCTAATCAAGCCTAACATAGTAAATGTTATATATTTTCAATTCCAAAAATACCCTAATTGTATTTTAACCTTTTTTTTTTTCCCAACAAATTGTTTGCTATTCAATGTCATAATGTTGTTTCAATTTTGCATAAGTTTTGTGGGTCAGTTTTATTTATTTATTTTATATATAATTAAAACTTGGTGTGTAATTAGTGTCGTATGTTTTTGAAATTAATTGGTTCTAATATACCTATTATGTTTTTTTTATTTTTTTATTTACTATGATTGGTTATATTTTGTAAACGAAATATATAATTAAAACTTGGTCTGTTTTTCCAAATCTGACAACCTGATCATATTTTGTTTCAATTTCATATTAATTGGTTAGTTATTTCCTTTTTTTTATATCAAAATTTTAAATTTAATAATATATATATATATAGTAAAAGGCAGAAAATAGTGAAACATTCAAAATACCAGAAAATGCTCTTGGTTAATACAAACATTAAGAATTGGAATTATTAATTAAATGAGAATAATATAATAAATTCACACTTTTTCTTATAAATAATGTACCTATTGTATACTAAATAGTGTATCTATTTACGTATATTTGCTTATAATGGACCACAATAATGAGCCTATTTATTCTTATAAATAATATACCTCGTATATTAAATAATGTACCTATCTATGTATATTGGAAAATTATAATTTACCTAGATATGTTGGATATATTAAGTGTACAAAAATTGTTACACACATGCTATGTGACAACTATCAAAGAGACCAATATATCATTTATGCTAACAAACTCCCTCATAGAAAAAAGAGAAATAATCAACCCTAATTAATGCACGGGTTCAAATTGTGACTCGTAGAGGAAATTGATGGAATTTAAAAAATAGAAACCACGTTGAATGCCTAGTTAAAAACATTATTGAAATCCTAAATTTAAGGAATTTTCTTAAGGAAAAAAATGTCTAGCAACAAAGACGGGTTGATGGCATGATTTGTAAATATGTGATAATATATGAACACTTTGGCTTTATTTAAATGTAATAAAATAGGTGGGTTATTGTCTAGAGTATTTTAGTTGTATGGGTCTATTTTGGTCAGACCCAAACAAAGTCGACTTATGTACAGATTTGTAGGCTTTTTTATTTATCTATTTTTTTTAATTTATAATTTTGAAACAAAAATTCATGTAATGCCCCTCCAATTAAGATATTTGGGGCAACTTCATAAAGAGTTTTCTAGCTCCGCTTCTCTTTGGTGTTCGAGTTGAGATCTCCATTCCTAATCTCAACTTTGTTAATTTGTAAGGTTAATGGTATAACTCAGTTGGTTGAACTCTTCCACATCACTCATGTGTAAAGCCCCCTCCTCCAGTCGCTTGTACTAAAAAATAATAATAATAATTGCAAGGTGTATGATGAAGTTATGCCTATACATGGAGAATGAGATGCACATGAGGAAGGGCGCCAACTTGTTATACATTGGCTTAAGTTTTTGTGGTTGAACAGAGTAGTTGCCTGACACAAGAAATTAAGAAAGCTAAATGTTTGTACGTTGTATAATGAAACTAGCGTCATAATAGTGATGAGGAGGAGTACAATCAAAATGTCAAAAGGAAGTAAAAAAAGAAAGGCGTTGTGCAAAGACCAAAAGTTACAAGTTATAAGCATGCATATTATGCAAAGGGTACAAATGCAGAAACTGTGTTCAGATAACTTGCTGAACACATTTATTCTTCTATACATTTTCAATGTGCCTTTTACATTCATATGGACATCATGTCAAGCCAAGAACCTCTCTAACAAGTTCCCAAAGAAGAAGCTTGTCTTGCCCCATCCCTTCGTCTCAGGTGCCTTAGAACTTGTTGGTACTTTCTTCACATTGAACATCGTTGTGTGCCCGATTTCTTTACGAAGTGCTTCGATCGTCTTTATGTCCACTGGATTGCCTGAAGAATCTCTAACATAAAAGACATTCATTGCTTGCTCCCCAATAGTTGTGACGCCTGCTCTTGTTACTGACAACCCATTCTCCCTCAGGATCCTTGTTACTTCAGATAGCAAGCCTACTCTATCCTTTGCACATAGCTCTAGCCTTAGATCCTGAATTTCATGGTAATTTGATACCTTTAAAACGATCAAGAAAGCATGTCTTTGTTGTATTCGCTATCCGTTAATGTTTACAAATATATAATCCTGACTAGTGGAAAAATTTACAAAAGTTTTAGTAGTCAATGCGCTGTTCTGTTTAAAGACATTTTTTTTCCCTCATTTTGTTAGCCACTTGAGCTCAAGCATACAACATTACTTGTAAATTGTACTTATCCTATTAACAAAGCTAAAATGAGCGTTAAATGTGGATATATTTTTCACTAACCTCGCTTACTCGTCTCCGAATTGCAGCGTCAATACATTTGATGACCCTTTCCTTCTCTCCTTCAGTATCAAGGGTGCAACCATCCATGTGACGAATAAAATACTCCTGCAATTAACTATATGCATCAGTTCAAGTACTTTAATCAAATCTTCAAGGAGATTCAAGACATGCGAATTCAACGGGTTTCTTATATCTATTGGGAGACAACACACCAGTACTGATTCCAATAGAAAACTAATGAATTCGAGACTTAGCATCAGAGTTCAGTCTAGAAACTCAAGATACCAGATTACATTGGTGTGACCAGACATCATTGATCATCACAGATGGGCACATTATAGTAACAATTAAGGAGCTTCTGCATTAACATACAAGTATATCATAGATGTAGTCTGTATGAAAGAATATTTCCTTTTCATAATCCAGAGAATAATTTCAAGAAAACAGAAAAGCAACCACTTAAAAATGATCTGCTGGAGAAACTTAATTTGGAGAACTTGCGTATAGGCCATCAGACGAGCATGAAATGCATATACCTGTGATGCGTACGGTCCATCAGATGAAATGGTGGCATGGAAAACAACATATTGCATATCTGTGAGTGTGCATACAATATCAAACATGAGCTTTGCGCGGTCTTTGCACCGGACGCTGACCACTGAGTATCCTTTTTCTTCACAACGCTCAATCGTGATCTTCGGTTGGAAGCAGGGAGGATAGTGATCAACTTCATTTGCTAGTCCACCACCCTCATAATCCCTATCAGCAAACAACATCTGGTGTAGCCGCCTATCAACATGGGTGAACCCCATAGAGAAGCTTGTACGACCAACTTTCTCATCATCCTCACACCCACGCAGGATGTTCTTGAGCTGCTCTTCCATAGTAGATAATCTATTTGGATCATCCACAGGTTGGCATGTAGAATTATCGTTGACATACACAACGCAGGCTATTCTTCTATTGTGTGTCCATACTTCAGCAGCAACTACATTAAAGTGAAGATTGGCAAGGACAGCAGAGATCTCGGATAAGAGGCCTGGCCGGTCTCTGCCAATGAGCTCAATGGCTGTGTGATCACCAACAGAGTGCACTCCAACCCGTTTTCCTGGCCAGGCCTTCAGTACATCTGTGATATGGCCCTTTGGTCCTAAAGCCTATGCAGTCACAAATCATAGACAACAATTGCTCTTAATACATGAAACAAACCCTTAATGCAAGGTTTTACAAGCCTCTGCATTTTCTAGTAAAGAAAATTGTTAAATCCAATTTGGGATAAAGGGGATTTTCAAACAAGTGATTGTTGTAAATTTCATAAATGCACAGAAATGCATGTGGCAAGAAAGAAGCATCAGGGGTTTCACCAAAAACAAAAAGCAAAAAAGAAAGAAGCACCAAGGGGCATACCTTCTCTATGTAGTCAATGGTTTTGCTGTCTGCAAGTTTTTTTCCTTGTTGATCGGTGACATGAAATACTGTTTATCAAAGAAAACTGTCATATATTAATTTGATTCACAATGGGGGGAGAAAGAGATGGGATAATCAAATTCTTATTTGTTAAAGAGTTTAAGTCAAGAACTGCAGATTTCACATGGCAATTACTTTCTTGCCAGAGAGAGAGAAGATTAACTAACCAAAAAAAAAAAAAAAAAACAATACTTATTAAACAGAAAGTTACATACCGTCCATGAACCATCCGCCATCAGAGGAGATGTAGGCTTTGGTGATTATGAGGTCAAGGTCTGTCAAGATTTGCACGACTTCAAGCAGAATTCCGGGTTTGTTGACACTATCGACCTACACATACATTTCATACCCCCCCACACCAATTTCAACATGATGGCTGGAATATATGTTCACTGATTGTAACATGAAAATGAAGCAAATTAAATCCTGTCTGTGGACGGTTTATCAGCAGGAGTTCGAAGGCATATGTTTTGTTTCAAGTTAAATTTGCCTCTAAATTTCATTCTACAACCAGGTATTAATTAGAGAAAGCAATTTTTGCATACAAGACAGGCAAATAGCTAGTGGCATTGTATAATTCTTCAAGCTAACTTTTTGTGTGAAAACCAGGAAACTAATTTAAGGTACCATACTACCATGCCATGATTCATTGCAAGAACCAGGTGTCAACGACGGCAAGCATAATTCTTATGGTTATAAGTTAAAATCACCTTGACTAGAGTACAGTCACTGCAGCTAGAGTTGTCTACGGATACCCTGCAAAAAATTTATGTAGAGATGTGAAATTACTAGAAGATATAATATAAACAAGTGTGCTCATTAGTCTCAGCATTCCATCACCACTTATTAGCACCGGAAAATGCTAAGCGCTGATGGTATCAGAGCACTACAGTTTGAGTATCCAACCTAAAACTAATTGGCAATGAATTGAGTATAGACCCAACATTTTATATATTGAAATGCGAAGTTTACAATAGCGCGACGAAGGATTTGATATTCGCAACACATTCTAATCTATTAACAATGAAATTCCTACTAAAATCATGACAACGGGACCACTAGCTAACTGAAACTGTGAAACACAAACAGAATTTTGATTAAATTGTTCATGCAGAGACTACAATACCTTGGGGGATTGATTCTTGTGCTCAGGTTCTCATACTCAGGATCAAAGTATGGCCAGCAAACTCTAGCCATTTAAGTCACAGTTTCTCCAATCAACCCGAAGTTCCTTTCTGTCACACAGAAGAATTCAGACTGCCATTGCCAAGTTAGAATTTAAATGAGCATCACTAATCATGAATACACGTGCAAAAAAACTTGTGAAGCAAACATAACCAAATTTAGGTATCCTGTATAATGATACTCATTTCAATTGAATTGCTAAAATATGCAAATACATTACACATTGTATTTTTGTATCTCTTATTGGTAAGCATTCGTCTTTGATAAATGTCCTTCTCTGGGAAAAAAAAAAAAAACAAAAACAAAAAAAAAAAGAAAAAGAAAAAAAGCCATGACATGCATATCTTCCTTTGTTAAGCCAAAATACCTAACCCTTGAAAATCAATATTACTTATTCAGAAGAGACAGTGTGAAGGCTTTAATGTTATACCATAATGATCCTCTCCTGTTTTGTCCGTCTCCTTTGAGAAGGTAAGATAAAATGGAAAGAACCCAGATACCATAAAATGCATATTTGTATTTTTTTTATTTTTTTATTTTATTTTTGTTTGGTATAAAAAGTGTTAAATTTCAGATAAACAGGCCATCGGGCCCTTATTTAAAATGAATTTGTAATTGAAATGATTATCAAAAGGGCGCCTAGTTGTTAGGATTGACTTCAACTTCAAGCCACATTTGTAGCATTGGCAAAAAAGAATATGGTAATAACTTGCCAATCACTTGTAAATTTGTAAGTCGTACATTCTATTTAACTTGATGGTAACACTAATGCACAATGTCAAAATGGAAAGTAATCACCACAAGTTTGACCATATCCTCTTCATCTATGTCAAAGCCTCGTTGTACAATGATTTGTCATTACAATGCATTGTATTTGATTTGTGTGTGTGTGTGCGTGTTACTGGTAATCCACATTAGCATTCCATAATAGCATTACTTGCCAAAACAATACGTTTCTTCCATGCGTCCAAAATAACCAATACATGAAAAATGAATTTTTTTCAACATATAGTTACCATTAATGTTATACCATAATGACCTATCTCCGGGGACGATGATCTTGGTGTTCAAGTAATACCCCATGATGGGTCGTGGTAATTTACTATATTATCCTTATTTTATGAATAATTTATTTGTAATATTTTCATTAATAAAAGTACTTTTTTGGGCTTGCTTGGTATTCAACTTGAATCTAACATTTTAAACTCAAAAACAGAATTTGAGTCCAAAACCAAGAAAAACCTGTTAATTAAAAACTCAAACTCAAGAACAACTAAAAAACACCCCAATTATTAAAAACAAAAAATATTTATTTTTTCAGTTTTTTTTTAATAACCCACAAGTTATCAAATTTTTAAGATTTGAAAACAGTTTTCAAGTTGCATACCAAACAAGTTTTGGAATCTTAAAAATATATTTAAGAACTCCTTATTTTTAAGAAAAATCAAAATTGTTGAATGTTTCATCATTCTCTGTTTTTGCAATTATATATATATGCAAACCAAATTAAAAGAACTTCTAAAAAATCAATAATACGGTTATATTTGTCGAGTTTGTCATCAAGTGGGCCACCAAATATGGTGGAATTCAAGATGTGTGTTGGCCCACAAGGTTGGGCTTTCAGCTTAAGACCTTTTCCTATCATTATTTACCTAATGATTTGTCCTAGCATGGTTAAAACGAAGCATTTTAAGAGAGAGAGAGAGAGAGAGAGAGAGAGAGAGAGAGAGAGTACCCTGCAGGTGCAAAAGAGATAGGAGGGGATGTTTCTAGATAGCAATCGAATCAACCCAGGTTGGTTCCTAATTGTTGATGTTGATAAGCATTCTCACATTTTGGTACAAATTACTGCAAACAAAATGACAAAGAATCAATACTGCAGCTTACGTCTCAGCCGGGTACAATGAACTATTGCTACACATACCCAACCACACATGAATAAGTCACATTAATTACCTAAGCATTTCACATCATTAATTTAGTTCTTCAATTGGAATTGAGTTCTATCAACTACGATTTGATATATATATATATATATGTATATATATTTATGATGAATTTGATATCCAATTATAGTTAATCCATCTTAGTGACGTAGCTTTCTAAGCGTATCTTCATAAATATTATTTCGATAAAATTGAAGAACCTCAATTCAATTGCACATAACTTATTTTAATAAGAAAAAAATTCAAGCCAACGGAGTCTAACCTAGTTGAAAAAGGGTATTGACTTGCAAACTAGTAGTCTCAAATTCAAATTCCCATAGCACCGTGGTAGTGTGTGTGTAAAAACATTCATTCTCCTGTAATTTAGACTATCGTTTGTATTAAAAAAAAAAAAATTCAAGTGCAAATAAATTTAAATTAAACTTGAAAGAGAAAAAGAAAAAAAGAGCCTCAAGCAACGGAAAACAAAACTACAAAAACTTTTTGAGGTGACATAAAGATGTGATTCCAAACTTTATCCACCATCATCCGAATCCCCACCGTCCAAGAGTATCAGTCCACCCATGAAAGATGTCAATGGATCGAGACCGTTCATTCCAATATTTTAAAACAAAATAATATTTATAAAAACAGAGAAGAATCAGAGAGAATGGCGTAGACGAAAATTTTGCAGACAAATTCCAGTTGTCCTTATTCCTTTTGAACAAGCTGTGAGGCTGTGAGAGAGTAAGCTCTCTGCACCATAACTTATTATTATCAATCCAAAACTCAACAGCTGAAACTCTGCAAATTCAGAAAATATTACATACCAGGCATACATTTCTGTTCTTCACCCTTGTAGCTCAAGCAAAAATGGCCTCCAGATCCTGAAGCAAACCTGCAAAATCAAAATTAAAGAACGCAAAAAATAGACAAATAGAAAGAACCCAATTGACTGAACATCTCTATTTTGATATTGAACTCCTTGAATTGGATTGTCTTTGGAAAATATAGAGGATTCAGAGCATCATGCATTAGCATTAGTGTTGAAATTCTCAAGAACATAAGAAAATACATATTGTTCTTGTCTCTTTAAGGGAAAACTGGAAACTACCCAATGAATTCAGAAGCAAATGAATTAGAATTAGAACAAGAAAATTTGCAGTTACCTTTCTGAAAGTAGTCCAACACTGGATGCAGAGTAATTGAAAGGCTTCTTACATGATGAAAGTTGAAACAGAGAGAGAAAGAGAGATGAAGGTGAGGTGAGGGTGTGGAGAGTTATTTATGTGAATTGAGAAGGAAGGAAGGGGGGTGGTGCAGAGAGAGAGTGCGTTCGTGTTGTTGTAAAGCAGTGTCTGTTTGTTGTGGTGGCTCACACTCTCTCTCTCTGCTGTGCTTTTCTACGTTGGAAAACCACTCTCTCTCCCTCCTGTGGATGTTGTTTTTATTTAACATAAAAAATAAAAAAAAATGAAAGGAACACTTGGGCATGGCGTGGCAAATTGTAGTGGAGAGCCTTTTAAATATTAAATTAATGAATCCAATCATTTAAATGTGTTAAAGGAGTTTTATTAAGTTGATAAATGACGCAGCCACCAAACAGACCCTGCCTCTGCTTCGCCCACCAAATTTTTGTACAATAACTCGCATGCCCTTTACTTCCTTCTTCCAATCATACTCTCCACTCATGCGCGTTGGGTCATATAATGGCTCTCTCTCTCTCTCTCTCCACCTTTATAAGCATGTTTTTGAGTTGGGAGTTTAGATATGTTGTCTTCATTTTCTTTCTCACTTCTCTATTTCTTGCATTCGTGCAAGTCTTAATACGATTTCCATACAACATAAGATATTGACCTGTGAAACAACAAACCATTATGAATAAACCAATAGCAACAATATGATGCACAATTACAATGGGAGCATAAACGATACGGCTGCTAGTGAGGGGACCCTATTTATATGTCTCAATTAGGTTTCCCTCATCAACAAAAGCCTTTATCGCAACATATGTAGAAATTAGTCCAAGCTTGATAATTAAAAAAGCACCACATAATTAGGGGCAGTTCTACACACAGGGCAGAGTCGGCTGGTACCTGGCCCAAAATTTTCAAAAAAGACAAATAACTAGATATGTTTATTCCAACCCCAAAAAAATGTTGAAATCATATCTCTATTTGCCCAACCAAAATAAATAAATAAACCCTATCTCTGTCTTCATTGTACTACAAAGTACGCTTCACTCGTCCCACTGAAACTTTTCACATCATGCTTTTCTTGTAGGCTAAAACTTTCCTTTAAACAATGGACATTTTCTCTTTTTTCTCTTTTTCCCCGTCACATTTCTCTTATTCATTTACTTTTTTTCTAGTCATCTTCTTCCTCATTCTCTCTTTTTTCTTTGATGCGTCTCTCTTGTAGAATTTGGGTTTGTTTTGATAAATTGAATTTATGGCTTGTCGAATTAGGATTTCTGAATTGAATTGGGGCTTCTGAAATAAGAGCTTTGAATTGTGAATTAGGTTCCTTAATGTTGGAGAAATTATCTAATATGCTCTTTTAAGCCCAAAAGGAATGATTTTTTGTTGTTGTTAGAATGGTTTACTTGGGTTCAAATGAGTGTATGATATTTTTTAATCCCACAAGTGTTCTTCCTTTTATTTTAAAAATTACATATTTAGTGTTGAGTATATATACAGACGAGCCACAATTTAGAATTTGGCCTTCGGCCTTAGAAAACTCCGATCGACTTTATTCACTTGTATTGTTAAATTTAGTATGTAAGTTTTCTCCAATCGATTATCAAATCTTATATCTGCCACTGCAAATAATAAACATAAGATTCACCTATTATGTAGTGACCAACCCATATCCTCTTTCCTATTAACATATCATGGGTGTACCTAAGCGTAGCACAACTCATATACTAATGATAAAACCCAAAAGCTCTTAGAGCATCTATAATAATATACCCTATTTTTAATAGACTTATCTAAGCAGATGCCAAAGCTCTTAGTGAAAAATGCATGCATAAGCAACGAAGTTGGCTTTTCTGAGCAGATGCTAAAGTTGAATGTGTTCAAAAGAGCAAGCCCAATGCATGATACATTAAATTTTTTAGTTATTGTTAGGTTTATTTTTAACGAAAAAAGAAAATAAAAAGCCTAAAAGAAAAAAAGCAACTAGGCGCGTTGGTGAAGAACATGTTGTAGATAAATTGGCACTGTGCCGGTCGTTCATGTTGTCGTTATTCGTAGAGTGTATTTACAGCAAAATACAACCAAAAATGTAAACTGATAGGAATATTAAAAGTGATTCTTAGATATAGGTCTATTTTCATCACGATAAAATGGATATAGTCCATAAGTTCTCTCGTTTAATTGCAATCCAGTAACTTATGTGTCATGTCAAGTAAGCAATTAGTATGTCTATAATTTTTTAATTAATTTACAATATATGCCACTATAAAAAAAGACAATTTTATGAAAACACATTCCTAAACTTAAGGCATCTCCTATAATCATGTTCTTGTCAAACAAATCACTCTTAATACATTTCAACGTTTTTATTTTCTTTTTTCTTTGCCTTGATGCCTTTTTCAATTTCCAGAATATAGTAAGTGTAGCATTACTCTTGATATATATATATATATATAGCTTAAATTGAGGGATCCCTCAAATAAGTTTATTTGAGGGACACTCCTTGTCGGGTCCACTCCGGATTGTATTTCACTAATCTAAACTGTCTATTTTGTAAATACACATTCAAAGATCATCTATACAAAAAATCACTTGAATATTGTCGAAACGGTTTTCGATTTGTCTAATTTTTAGTAAGGATGATCTATGAATGAAGACCTAAAAAATAGATGGTTTGGATCATTGAAAAAAAAAAAAAAAAGATGATAACTTAAATTAAAGTTACCAAGTCTGAGGATTAAATCCAACTCTTCTATAAGAATTTAGATCAATTTAAATATCTTATCTTTGGCAAAATGTTGCACAAATATATCATGTCTGCAAAGTTGGATCAATTCAACATGCACCGTTCATTTAGTGTCTGCGTCCGATTTCTATAGCGTTTAAAAATAGTATTTGATGGTAGGCTACTGTTGTGAAAGGAACTCGTCACAATTGGATTTTATATAATTGATGGATGGTTTAGACGAAAATGGAAGTGGACCACTTCCTAGACAGGGAAATGACAAAAGTAAATTAAAGTAGCCCTTTATAACTTAATTGCCTTTGAGGCATTAATGTCAACAAACATGTAGGTGTCTTTGCTACTTTGTCTTCAATAGTCATTGTCTCCTGTACAATGGATGAGAAATTGGGTAAATCAATAGATACTCAACTTGTTGAGTGGAGGCAATAGATCCTCCAGTTTGTACATTGTTAATTAAGGTGGGGTTGTGTGTGAGGGTTTGTAGTTCCAATGCTAGTTTGCATTTCTCTTGTACCTCTTGTACCTAAATGTAGAGGTTCAGGATCCTCATTCCAATACGAGAAGCAGAAATTGAAATAATGGCAATATCGATTCCTAATAAGTAACATGTAAGACCCATGAACTTGGAAAGCAAGATCAATGAGCAATCCTACATCACTCGAGGAGGGAACAATGAAGTGCCTTATAAGAGCAGTTGTCATTTCACCTAATAAGACACGTTTTGGGCAAGATATCATAAGCTTGAGCCCAGAAACAAAACCCCGAGGGCTCAGGCCAAAACGGAAAATATCTTTCTTGTGGGAGTGGGCTGTGACATAACATGCCATAAATAGAAGGCCAAAGCCAGTTACACCAACGTGAACCCAAAAAATGAGTTCAACCAAATGCAACATAATAGAATAGGGCCCTCTATAGTCATTAAACTCACGAAAGACATAAAACCCACATAAAGGAAAAAGCCCACAAAAAAGGGGATAATGATCCAAAGAAAGGGACACCAAATCGGGAGAAAACAAACAAGATTTAGGTGGCTGCGGCTTCTATGTCTCTAAATTGATCTCTCTCCCTCTCCTTCTTATTCCTTCGTCAATCTCTCTCCCTCATCTTTGTCTCTCTATGTCTTGATCTCTCTCTCTCTCTCTCTCTCTCTCTCATCCTCATAGTACAAGCTCCAGACTACGCTGACCATTGTTCTCTCTCACACCGACAAGCTCTAGATCCTGAAATCGAGCGCTACCAATTGAAACCGACCGACACTGAAACAATCGATAACTGACCTTTTGTGGTTCGATGGTAGGCCATTCTGACCGCTGATCGGTTGGTCATTGGTGTGGGCATCTCGGTTAGGTTACCAAACCAAATCAATCCCTACTAATACTCATAGGGTTGCAAAGTACCTAAACTTAAATAATAAGAAAATGCAGACATGGACTTAGCCAAGTTGGCTAGAGTAAATGTACTCTCCACTCTACACCCGAGTTTAAATCCCCCTCTCCATAGTTAGATTAGATTAAAATAAAATATCGATTGTATAAAAAAAAAAAAAACTAATAATAAAATATTAGAGCCCTAACCTTTATGGATTTTAAGTTTTAAAATATTTAAAATATATTTTATTTTATTTAAAGCCACGTGGCTCTATACCATTGGATGTGTGGGCTCCATACATGCGTCACATCAGCAATTTAACAGAAAATTCGACAGAAGCTAACGGCAATGATCATTTTGATGTGTGGATGGTAACCTTAAGGATCCTTAGTGTCACAAAAAGAAACATTAGTGACAAAAGTGATAATTTCACAAACTTCAAAGACCATTTGTTATAAATAAATATTTTTTTTTTTTCATTTTTTCATTTTTTTATAAGAGCACGATCGATTATAAGAGTTTGGTGAAGAATACATGATCATTCTTTTGATCGTTAAAGTTCGGCTTTATATTTATAAAATAAAGTTGAGCTTTTTATCCTTAAATATTTGTGCAGATATGGAAAGTTAGCTAGCTGATGTGCACCATGAGAAATAGAATCAAATTCCCACGCCTATAGGCTATAGCTAGTGTGTCATCAAAACCTCAGCAACGTTTGCAATTTCATAGCTTCTTAAAGTTTGCTTTTGTCTTTTCAAATACGAGTCGGGATCACATGCTTGATATAAGTTCTCCATATTGTTCATCACAATGATTTGTATAATTGTATTGTACATATATACTTATTGATATACTAGGTTTGGAATATAATAACATTTTTTTTAAAGAAAAGGGGCATAATTTATTGATTAAGGATAACTAAATTTTTCAAAGAGTAAAATAATATCTAATGATTCCTCAAACTAAAAATCACCTCAGCAAAACGAGTCAAATGGTGACTGCCCTATGAACATTGCGGTGAATATGAGCAAAGCCATCTCCAGTGATCTATAACAACACGACTTGACATCCTCCAC